CCTTCTGATGGCTGTGGGCATGTCCCTGAAGGAGATACTGGGACCTCAGCCCTCCTCTTCCTGTCCTTCATGTCCTGGCCACAGGGTAACTGTGTTCTGCTACTTGCCCCACCGTGATTTACTCTTGCCACAGGCCCAAAAGCAATGATTCTGCCTCACTGTGGACAGAAACCTCCAAAGTGTGAGCTAAAACAAACCATTCCTCTTTATAATTTCAAGTCCTTTGTGACAGTAACAGAAAGCTGAGTAACACAGAGATGTTCATTTATCATTTAACCTGAAAACTAATCTTTTATATACTCTTACATATAAAATATACTTTACAATAAAAAAAAAAACTTTAAACACTAAAAAGGAGAACTGGCAGGGAACGACAGTCATAGGAGGGCCAGCCAGGTATGGCACCTCCCAGAAGTGGGGAGGGCAGGCACACGCGCTGAGGGATCCAGGAAGGACAGTGCCAAGGCTGGAGACAAGCCAGGGGAGGCACAGCAAGGGCAGAGGCGTGGATGAATTAGAGGATGAAGGGCCAGCGTAGAGCGTCAGGAAAGAGTGCTACTGATCAGTGTTTCTCACTGTCCTGGCAGAACAGTGTGGTTTAAGACAGGGTCTCTGAGAATTACTCAGGTTCACCTCAAACTGGCAATCCTCCTGTCACGGCCCCCAGACACTGATGTGTGCAGCATGAAGCCCAATGACAGGATCTGTCTGCTGTGCTGACAAGAGGACAAAGTGCAGCAAGAACAAGACCAGGCAGAACCCTAAACAAGAATCCAAGCAAGAGGTATGAGTGGCCGGGATACCCTGGGGAAGTGGATGCTATGCTTGGTGGAGTCTGGAGCATCTAACCTTGTAAGGTCTTTGGTTCAAACAACTGAAGGCCTGCCATCCTTTGCAGTGGGAAGCAGAGGAAGGAGCAAGTTTTGGACATATAAGTTCTGGGTTCCTAGAAGATACCATACTGAGTAAATAGTATCCTCCAAAATTCAAGTCCTCCCAAAATATGTTAATGTTATTTGGAAGCAAGGTCTTTGTAAACGTAACAACCAAAGTGAGGAAGCCAGGTACAGCAGCACATGCCTGTAATCCTAGCCACTTGGGAAGGTGAGGCAGAAGGATCAAAAATAGTGAGACCCTGTCAAAATAAAAAGCACTAAAGTGCTTGCTCAGCAAGCACAAGGCCCTGGGTTCAATCCCCACATTAAAAAAAAAAGGAAGAAAAAAATGAGGTCACACTGACCAGGGTGGGCTCTAAGCCAATGACCAAGGCCGGGGATATAGCTTAACAGCATAAGCACTTGCCTGGCAAGCCTGAGGTCATGAGTTCAAGTCCTGGTACAAAAAAAAAAAGAATTTCAAAGCCAATGATTGATATCCCTTTTTTGTTGTTTTCTGAGATGAGATTTTACTGTTTTGCCCAAGCTAGCCTCAAATTCACATGCCTTTCAAGTAGCTGAGATTACAGAGATATCTCACCCCATCTAGAAACTGGTGTCCTTATAAATGGGAAATCTGACACTGACACACACAGATGGATGATGGCCACAGCAAAGTGGAGGAGTGATCAGCATGCCACTGTCAAAACCTAAGGAATACCAAGGACTGCTAGCACCCAGAAGCAGGGAGAAGAAGGACCTACCCCTGGAGCCTCCCAGGGAGCACTGGATTTCTGAAGTGGGAGAGAATAAGTTTCTGGTGTACTGAGCTATCACCAGTGGCAGCCCTAACTACCTGTCACTCCTAACCAGACCTGCCTCTCTCAGTCCCAGGAAAGGCTGAATGGTGTAAAGACAGCCGTTTAAAGCATTTGGGTTCTTTTCCTGCCTCTCCTTTCTTTTCCTGCTCTATGAACAGAGGCAAATCTTTATGCCTATTACATTTCCTATAAAATCAGGGAGCCTGAATAGAATCACATCTAAATTTGCATTCTCCATTCCCAAGCACAGTCAAGTGTATCTGGACACATGTCCAAATCTACCTCCACTCCACTCTACAGAGGCTGTTTCTGTTAAGCACACACTACCTTAACTATGTTGAGGACCAAGCAGATGCTAAGACACAAAAGACAAGAGACCCTGTGGTGAATTGACAACTGGTGGTCAACTTCTAACACCCAGCTGAACTGAGTAATCGTGGTGCTGGGTGTGGGAGGCCCACCTGTGGATTGTTGCCAGCGGCACAAAAGGCAGACCTGGAGAAGAAGTAAGGCTGCTGGGAACTGAAAGACTGTTGGGAGCTGGCAGAAGCTGTGGGGAGGGAGCCTGATGGAAGCTGAGAGAAGCTGTAAAGAGCTGTCGGTTCTTTTGGAGGAGCTTGTCATGCTGGCTTTCCTGATGAACTTGGCTGTTTTCATACTCCAAGGAGCTAGGGACCTTGTTGTCACTGACAATGGCTTCCACTCACTTTGGGGGAGCTCTGGTCCTCACTCTGAGCATCACTTTCTGGCTCTGGAGAGAAAGATGGTGCACTGCTCAGTCTCCTGGAGAAGCTTGTCACATTGGCTTTCCTGATCATCAAGGAGCTCAGGACCTCTCTGTTGCCGAGGATGGCTGTGGTACTTTTTGGGAGAGCTGTGGTTCTTATTTTGCGCATCGCTTCTTAGCTCCGGTTCAGACCCCTCAGTCTGCTGGCACAGACTTCCTAGATTCCACCACTGACCTCTGGGCCTTCCCAGCACAGATCCGTGAAACAGGCATGCATGAGATATTGTTATTGGCTCTAGGGCTCCAGTTAGACTCGTGGGAGGTATTGTTATGAGCTCTAGGTTTTCAGCTGGACTCATGCAGGACATTATCTTGGGATCCAGCACCTCAGCCGGTCAAGATTCTTTGGTCTTAGTGTGTGGACAGACTTCCTGCACTCTTTTGTGTATCATTCTTTGGGTGACTATTATAAATAAACTTATAAAATATGTGTCCTGTATTACACTGTTCCCCTTGCAAAATAACCCCAAACCAACACAGACCCTAACTGTGATTTTATCACATTACCAGGACATAGGGGGGAAACCCGTTCTCTATGCTGTTATACTCATGTTCTATTCACTGCTACAATAACTTAACATGAACTCAGGGCCTCAGATCAATACCCACTGATGACCTCACAGTTCCCAGTGTGTCAGAAGTGTGGGTACAGAGCGGACAAGCTTACAGATTCAAAGCCGAAAGAATTCACTGGCAGGGCTGCAGCCCAAGTTCACTCCTACCGTTGACCCTGCTCAATTCCACGTGGCTGAAGGACTGAGGTGCCTGGTTCAGGACAGGCTACTGCCTTCAGTCATGCTCAGCTTCTTAGACACCTTTTGTCAGCTCACAGCCCTCTTCTTCCTCTTCAAAGCAGCCACCACAGACGGAGTCCTTCTCATACTTGGAACCTCTCCAACCTCCTCACTTGTTCTTGGGCCTCCTGTAATTACTAGGTCCACTCAGGTAATCCAGGATCATCTCCCTCTCTTAAAGTCAGTGACAAGTAGTCTTAATTACATCTCCCAAGTGCCACCTCAGCAGTGTTAAGAGGGTGACTAATCAGAGCACAGGGACCTGAGACATCTTTCACAGGTATTCCAACATCGCATGTCTTAACAATGAAAACACATACACAACACATTTCTGGGATACAGCTTTGGAAAACAATAGTTACTTAGGTTTGTTACTGCAAATTAGTTGACAATATGGTTGGAATAACCGATGAAGCTTTGTAAAAGGGGACAAAAATTAATTTTAATCCAGCACTGGATGGAAATGAACAGCAGCCTGAACTCAATTCCCTAGGCAGGAGCTTGATGGTTTCCTTCTCTATAAAAATGGAAAAACAATACCTGCTTACAATGTAGAAATAGGGCTAAAAAAGTAAAATAAACAACAGACTGGGATGTCAGGAAATGTAGTGGTCACACATCTGAAGGAACCCTCTCTCAACCAAGAGAGAGAGATAACAGTGCCCCCAGTCAACCTTCTGTTCAGAGTGTCCCATCTCCCGGATACCCAGCTGCTCCCTGACAATTTCTCTTAAATGTACAAATGTAGCTGGGTGTAGTGGCAGCTATATTTGCTGCTTGTGTTCCCAGCACTCAGGAGACTCAGGTAGGAGAATCATGGGTTCAAAGCTAACCCGGGCCGTGTGTATAGGCTGAAACCCTGTCTCAAACAAGCAAAACGAAAGCAGAAATGTATGTTCCTGAAAGGACCCTGGGTGGCGAGCATTATCTGAACATTAATGAGCCTGTACTTGCCACACCGGTTTGCTGAACCAAACATCAACTCTCACTGTGCAGGGCCACCAACAGTTGAGGAAACAAGGCTGAGTGTGCACTTGCAACTTTTATTATGTCATTGCTTAGCTTATCTTCAACTGTGTCCCCAAACTATCTTAGATCTAATTTTGACAATAATCGCACGGAGCCCCACTACAGCTGCCTAGCTGCATGAGGCTGAGCGCTGCACCTCCAGGACGGGCTGCGATCGCGGCATGGGGGCGAAGCGGAGCTGCGGACCGCCAGGACAGGTGCGTGGCACGGGCAGCGTCCGACCCCAGGCCACGCCAGGTGCCCACGGTCAGCACCTGCGGGCCGGGAAGCCGCACGTTCTCGGTGTTCTGCGGAAACGTACGGCGCGGCCCCCAGCTCCTACGTCCCTGCGCCTGGTCGAGGCCGGTGCGGGGTCCCCAGAGCTGCCGGGGAGGTGACAGGGCAGGTGCCCAGCGCGCTGCTCCGCAGGGCGGAAGCCGAAGCCGCGCCGCGCTCGGCCCCCGCGCGACCCTGCCTCGCGGCCCGGTGACCAGCGGTGCCCCGGCCTGGCCCCGTCCGCTCCGCGGCTAAGGAGCCCGGGGAAGCCGGCGAGCGCGGAAACGGACCCCGAAGCCGCCCGCAAGCAGCGGTGAACACTGGATCCGGTTTGAAGACTCGGACGAAGGAGCGGGAGCGCGCGGCGTGACTCAGGGCTCCGGCGCCGCCCGAGAGGGACTGCAGGGGACGGCGCGCGCGCCCGGGGCCCCGGACTCACGTTTGTACTCGGCCATCAGCCTTTTCAGCGCCGTGCCCGCCATGTCCGGCAGCAGCTGCGCTCAACAGCCTCACCTCATCCAAGCCCGTCGCGCCTGCCCCGACGCCCGGGGCTGCTTCCGGGTTGCCGCCGCGAGCGAGAAGCGCTTCCGGGGCGCGGCGCGGTGCGCAGGCGCGGTCCACGTGGCGCGCCGGAGAGGCGGGGGCGGCCCGAGCTGAGGCGCGGAGCCCAGCCGGTTACCCGGGTTCCGGGCACCCCCCACCCACGGGCCGCTTCGCACACGTTCACTCTGGAGTTTGCGGGCACGCTGTGCTAGCCACCGTCTCTTGTCTGCCTCCTCCGGCCAGGAAACACATCCGCAGGGAAGCCTGCAGTTCCCGTTCTGGGGCCAGGGGAGAAGACCGCGCCTCTTTACAGCCTGGAACGTGCGCGACGAGACCCAGATGAGCTCATCTGACGCCTGTCTTCCCTGAACCGCTCTCTCCCAGGCATCCTGCTCTTACTGCTATACAGAACTGTATCCTCCACTTATTTTCACAAATGTGGTTTACAGTTTGTATCAGGATGAGTTCCAGCCTCAAATGACCATAAAGACGAAAAGCAAAACATGTTGTGAAGGCCGGATGCAAGCTTCTCACTTCAGTGTAGCTGGCCAAAGGCTTGACCTCCCTAACTTCCTCCTCAGGGTCATCATTCAGCTATTTGCATTTCAGCTTTAACTGGGCACACCTGGCAACTCTCCACATAGCCCACAGGGGCTGTGAGCAGCGGGTATATAACAGTGGTTTCCTAAGCAAGGCCACTGGGGAGGCTAGCTGAGTGTCTACCAGCTAAGGTCCTAAGCAGGACGTCCCAGCTGACCAGCGCCCTATGACAGCCTCAGGACAGCAGCTTCACCTAAGCGCATGCACAGCACAGCTGGGGAGGCCTGGCACGCTGGAACTGCGGGGGCTCTTGAATGTAGCACCTTAGTGCTAAAACAGAAGGTTCCAGTTGGGGCCTTGGATATTAATACAGGGCTAAGTAGGGCCTATCACTCCCAGAAGCATCCACTGAATCCTAAGATTCTGGCTATTAAGTTCATGTCATTTAACGCTTTTAAAAACATTAGGGCCTGGAGTGTAGATCAGTATTAGAGAATGCACAAGGCCCAAGGGTCCAGCCCCAGCACTGAAGAAAAATGTTATCGTCCAATACCAACAAATGTTATTTCAAATGCACAATTCATGTATATTTCTAAGATTAAGGACTGGAGGGCACATGCCGCTTTCTGCTAACCTCAGGGAACAGGAGAAAGCTGGAGCGGCTCTGCTCTAACAGCAAGTAACCTCTTGGCCTGGAGTTTCATGTAACTGAAAGCCCCTGAGATGCATCCCTCTCCTGGGCTTTTCTGTTACACAGAGAATGTAACTATGCTTGAACCCACATCCTCCTGCTGAGTGACTCAGAACTGTGTCCCTGCTGCCCTCCACCTTTCATCCCGTGCTCAACTAACTGGTCAAAATAGCTTGGTCATTGTTGACACTGTCTGGTTTTATATTTCACCAGCAGATCTGAGACATCTCAAAGTCAAATTAGTATCAGTTCGTTTTCAAACTGACATGGATAGACTATCAAAGTCACAGACGAAAATAGCATATTGGAACACCAGAAATTTTAAAATGCCCCAAGTTATGTGTGGCGCACACCTGTAATCTCAGCAGTTGGCAGGCAGAGGCAGGACTATTGCTGCAAGTTCAAGGCCAGCTTGGGCTACAAAGTGAGTTCAAGGCCAGCCTGAACTGCATAGTGAGAACATCTCAAAAAGACAAAAAAATGTCCTAAAACCAGTAGACTAACATCCAGACCCACCTGCCCCCACCCCCCGCTCTGAGCCCAGCAGGAGAACGAAGTGAGTGTCATAGCAGTGTAGATCAGCTGGCCAGCCCGGAAAAATACGCCCCATCCTGGGCAATGTGCCAGAGGAGGCAGTGGGCCAACATGGCAAGCGAATTTCCAACATCTTCTAAGTCCATTCCTGAGCAGCCTCGCTGGACAGTCAGTGTGCATACTGAGCTCTAACATACGCCCCGACTTCAAAGGCAGTGTTTAATATGAGCCACGAGACAGAATACCAAACTATATTTACTGTTTACAGTAGTAAAGGACAACAAATAATGTACAAATTGGTGAATAAACACAATAGAGCCAACGAACATCCCACCCCAAGCCCATACAGCAAAACAAAGGAAAGAACACTTTTTGCAGGATTTCAAGCAAGCAAGAGATGGCAGATCATTGTCAGGTGACTGTGAAAGTCAGAGAATGGCTGTCAAGCAGCAATGGATCCTTAGAGAAGGACAATAGGCAGAACTATGAACATTTTAACTGGCATAGAACCCAAGATATGTCACAGAACTGGAGTCACCATACTAATGCATGACATCAAGCGGTGGAGCACAAATCCATGAGAAGAACACGAAGTCACCTTTCCATGGGTTTCTTTTGCAACCACATTTGAAGTAGCTCTTTTACACAATAATGTAACTGCAAATTCAGGAAAATCAATCTTTTTTTATAAGGAGACCATAATCATTCATCAGATACAAATACTAGAAGTCTGAGGCCACAATACAATTACTGAATGAGAAATGTGGTAGTTACTTTATTCTATGTTATGAAAAGGGAAAAAGCTAGTTTTTGTTGTGCCAATCTTTGCCCATGTACCCTTCACCAGCTAGTGAACAGTGGGACAGTGTCCTGAGCTTCAGGACCCCAGAGGACACAATCAGGAGCAGAGAGCCCTGGGGCCACATTACTGAACAACTCACTGTGCGAGTTTTACCTTTCAAGAACCAGTCCAATTTTTCCCTTCAACTTTACCACATGTTGGACAAAGCCTAAACTTGCAATACTTAGCATAGTAGCAACCTGTGCCTACAAGTCAGTCAAATTTTGCCCCCGTGTCCCACAGCCGCAGTCACTGGGAGAATGTGAGCTGTCTACATGATTATGGCAAGCAGCTCATGAGCAATCTCAACTCTGGGCTGAGAACCTGGCTACAGATGGAGCCAACATTCAACAAGTCTTGGGGGAAAATGCTTGGGAAGGGAGAGAAAAGCAAAACTGAAAAAAAAAAACCTCACAACTCGTTTTATCTAATCAAAAACAATCTGGCCCAATTTAAGCTGTAGACATGTCTCTGTAGATGCAGTTCTGTGTTGCACTGCAAGGGCACCCAACAGAGGAGGGTTGTTCGGTGACTGTCCTCGGCTTCTGCAGACTCCTGTGATCAGCTTGGTCATGCGCTCACCATTCCATAGCAAGTGCAGGGTGCAGAATGGTCCCTCTGGAGGCCGTACCTCCCGTCTGCTGCTGGAACACGTCAATGGTGTCTTCATCCTCCATCTCCAGCTGTCAGTCACAGTGGCAGGCCCAGTGAGAGGGGACAGGAGATGGCAGAAGTGAAAATGAATGGACACAGTGTTCCCAAACTGCTCCCCTACACTAGAGATGCAGCCTGCCCACCCTCTGTTATGGGTTGTGGGAGGAAAGAAGTATCACTCTGGAGTCACAACTACTTATCCACTATTAATCCAACTAATTTCCCCTAACAAAACTTACGAGAGAGTATTCACAGCTAAGAACTTTAAGTGTCAGAAAAAGTCATTAGCCAGGTGTGGTAGTGCACACCTGTAATCCCAGCACTTGGGAGGCTGAGGCAGGAGGATCACTGCAAGTTCGAGGCCAGCCTAGGCCACAAAGCAAGCTCAAGGCCAGCCTGAACTGCACAACGAGACCCTGTCTCAATAAAGACCAAAAAAAAAGTCATTAAAATTAAACTGAGATGTCTAAAATTCACTCTGAGGGTGACACAGACTCGGATCACAGTGAAGCAGCTCCAGTTAGTAGTGCAGTGGGTCATAAAGTAAAGGACCATAAAGATGGACTCACTACTGGCACTTCCCACCTTCAGCACCAGGGCAGAGGCCAGCAAACCTTTCCCATGTGCTTCTCTTCTGACAAATCAAGTACAAAAACATCCCCTGGCCCTTTCCCACTCTGAATACAAGGGACAGTCTGTAGTTCCCATGGAGATTGGCCCCTACTAGGAGCAGAACACTCCTGCAGCCTACTCAGAAGTCCTTCTGCCCCTGCTGCAAACATTAGTCACTCCCGGGGGCCAACAGCTGAAACAGCAAACCTCCCTCCAGGAAGCTCCCTGCCCCTCTAGGCCTGTCCCACCCTGCTCACTCCAGTGGGCATTCTCAGCCCACCATTCTTTCTAGCGGGGATCATTTCCAAAGGTAGCTTGAAATTTAAGTATTTCAAAATTATTGCTGAGCGTGGTGGTGCACGCCTGTAACCCCAGCACTTGGGAGGCTGAAGTAGGAGGATCACTGGGAGTTCGAGGCCAGCCTGGGCTACAAAGTGAGTTCAAGGCCAGCCTGTACTGCAGAGTGAGACCCTGTCTCAAAAACAAAGGAAACATTTTCAATATTTGATATCAAATGTTCTGCAAAAATACTTTCATGTAAAATATTCCAATTGATTATCACGTTGTAAGAGAGAAAAAAAAACTACTATCTCTATTTTATAGAGACAAAACTGGAACTCCAAGAGATTAAGCAATTGAAATCACAAGGCCACCAGGTGACAACAGGAGCTGCCACTTGAACTTAAATCTGAAGCACATTTTAGCTCCAAGCCTGAAGCTCTGCACCACAAGGCACTACTCTGTGTGGTGGGCACTGGTATGAGACAAGCTCTGTGCTCAAGGGGACAAGGAGGTATGACAGCACCTCCTTTCCACCTGGCACCTGTGAAAAATGCTTACAGGGTGCGAGAATTGAACCTAAGACCCAGCTGTAAACTGATTAAAGTTGCAAACTAAGAGTCCCAGACAACTGGTGGGAAGGGGCTCCTCCCCACCCTCACCTAGTGGATTCCAGGTCAGCCCTCAGCTAATAACCCAGGGCCCCTAGGAGCACAAGTTCCCAAGCCTGGCTGCCTATCACCACACAGCAAGGGGGGTATGCAATGGAACCATTATCTCATCTGAAAAACTTAATCTCAAAATACCAAAATTTTATTTTATTTTATTTTTTATACCAAAATTTTAAGATCTGCTAATTGCCAGGCCTGGTGGCACATGTCTGTAATCTCAGCACTCGGGAGGCCGAGACAGGAGGATCGCTGCGAGTTCGAGACCAGCCTGGGCTACAAAGTGAGCTCCAGGCCAGACTGAAATGCATAGCGAGGCCCTGTCTCAAAAAGATAAAATCTGCTAATTAAAAATTATTAAGAAAA